AAAATATACCCTTTGGAAAAAAGTAATAATAGCCCGGCCAGTACGGCTCAGTGGTTGAGTGTCAACCTATGAACTAGGAAGTCCCGATTCAATTTCTGATCAGGGCACATGCCTGAATTACAGGTTCGATCCCCAGTAGGGGGCATGCAGGAGGAAGCTAATCAATAAATAATTCTCTTATCACTGATGTCTCTTTTCTATCACTTTCTCTCCCTTCCTCTCTGAAATCAATAATAATATGTAAATTTTTAAAAAGTAACAATAATCTAGAGGTGTAAGGAGAATTAACAATACCAAAAGGTATACATTCAATAAAATAGCCCACCAAAAATTTCTATTTTAGGACAAGTCTATGTAATTGCCATCATCACTAAAGGGTAATGCTTTCCTGAGCTTTACTGCCAAGAGGGTAAGATCATCCACTGAAATCTGCTCATTCAAAACAAGTAACTCTATTTAGCAAATACTTCTCAATCTTTGAATTTCCAAGACCAGTTTTATCCTAAAATTACTCTACCGTGTTTCCCCGAAAATAAGACATCCTCCGAAAATAAGACCTAGCGCATGGAAAGATAAGACATCCCCTGAAAATAAGACCTAGCACAACTTTGGGAGAAAAAATTAATATAAGACATTGTCTTATTTTTAGGGAAACAGGGTATTAGCCAAACAGCTGATATTCTTAAGAAAAATCTGATCCTAATCTACTTCACATATATAATACTCAGGAAGTAGGTAGACAGGAATATATTAAAATAAAACCAGCCCCAATTCTGTGTTAGTGAATCCTGATTGTATTACCTGTCTGCCTGTTTTCCACCATTATTTAACATGCACCCATGAAATGCAAGGACTCTTCTAGGTGCTTAACATCTGTCAGAAAAAAAAAAAAAAAAAAAAAAAAAAAGACAAAGATCTCTGCCCTTGTGGAGTTTCTACTGTCCTTCTATTCACTTTGAAACTAGTGAGTGTGGAACATACCAGTAATTTGTTTTTGCAACCATCTGCAATAAATCTTACTATGAGTATCATATATAATCTCTAATAGAGATGTGTGGGAAACTGAAAATATACAGAAAAATTTAAATACAGTGGTTTTTGTGGGCACTGTAAGTAAGCACCATAAGCCTATAAAAATTATTTCTTCCAAGAATCAATAACCAATAAGTAATTGATATGGCCGTGCCTGAATAAATGATGGCTTTCCTTATATCAATAATTTGGCCCCTCTGAACCTGCCAGATAACGTCTATTCAAACCTCAGGAGGTTTTCACAATTAGGCGACAACTCAAGTTTCACTATCTCTATATATAAAAGCCTAAACCAGTTTGACCACTAGCTATGACCATTAGGGGGCAGATGCTCAATGCACAGGCATGGAAACATGGAACAGACTGATGAATCTCAGAGGGAAGGGGGAAGAGATTAACCAAAGATCTTATATGCATACTAGAGGCCTGTGCATGGATTTGTGCACCAGTGGGGTCCCTCAGCTTGGCCTGCAGGGATCAGGCTGAAACTGGCAGTCTGACATCTCCCAAGAGGTCCTGGATTGCAAGAAGGCACAGGCCAGGCTGAGGGACCTCACCGGTGCATGAATCCATGCACCAGGCCTCTAGTCATTTATAATTAGAGAATATTTTAGTTTTTTTTGTTTTTTTTTAAAGTATTTATAGTTATCTGCACATTAGGCAATTGGTTAGGTTAGACAAACTATATAGACATGCACTGTCCAATATGGTAGCCAAGTGTCACACTTAAAATGTGCCTAAATTAAAATGAGCTGTAAGTATAATATACACACTAGAGAAAAAGAATGTAAAATATATCAACCATCTTTAACATTGACTACAAAATAAAACATGTTGAATAAAGTAAGCAAAAATATATTATTAAATTCTTCTTTCAGTTGTTTTTTTTTTTTTTTTGGTTCATCTTCACTTAAGAATATTTTTTCTATTGATTTTTAGAGAAAGTGGAAGGGAAGGATAAGGGGAAGGAGGGAGAAAGAAAAAAGGAGAGAGGAAGAGGGGAGGGAGAAAGAGTGAGAGGAACATTTGTGAGAGACACAAATCAGTTGGTTGACTCCCACATGCTTCACTCCCCAAAGGCTTAAACCTGCAACCCTGGTGTGTGCCCTTGACTGGGAACAGAGACCGCACCCCGAGCTCTAACCACCAGGCAGAGCATTTTTTACTTTTTTAATGTGGCCACTAAAAAATATTATCTTTATCGCTCACATTTTATTTCTTTTGGATACAGCACTGGTTTAAGACAATAGATTTCTAAACCTGTACACAGAGCTAATACATGAATTATACTCAGAATTTTATATTTATTTATTCATTTCTCAACTTACACTGTTCAACAAACCATATAACAAAAAATCAAACATATCCAACATTTTATATCAAAATGTGAAAGTCTCAGAATCTAAAGTGAAATTGGTTAGCTGAGCATTTACAAATATGAGGGTGGCCGTTTGTGTAGGACATTCAATCCAGAAAATATTTTATTCTGCCACCCCTGAGCAGCAGAAGGGTCACATATTCTATTTATAGCTAATATGTACCGTGCCCTTAAGAGCGCCTGGCACTGTGCTAGGGGCTTCACTCACACTGACCCATAAAGTCCTTATAACTATCCTATGCGATAGACACTATCATTAACACTAAAGAAGAAACTGAAAGAGATTAATTAACTTGCCAAAGTGCCAAAGTCCCATTAACCTGCCAACAGTTCCAACCCAGTAGGCTTTATCCAAAACCATCACACATTTTCCCACGCAAAAAGACAACACAAAAACCTTATGTCATTATCTTACAGGATTATGTTTTAGTGGAATGTGCACCCATTACAAAAGAGAGGAGTAGATGGAGGTAATGATTGTTTCCTGCTCTCCACCCAACCCTTTTCAATGGCAGGTTAAAGGTGATCCCATGAATTAAATCCTTGATCTCACTTCAGATTTCTTCTCCACTCCCTTTCCCAGAAAGGCTCTATCCCACCCTCTAGTCCAATTCCTATCTGTCACTCAGGCTTCATTTTATTTTATTTTATTTTATTTTAAAGAAAACGAGGAATTGAGAGAGAGCTAGACCGACTGACATCGATTTGTTGTTCCACCCGTTTATGCATTCACTGGTTGTCTCTTGCATGTGTCCTGACCAGGAATCGAACCTGAAACCTTGGCTTTTAGGGATGCTCTAACCAACTGAGCTTCCCAGCCAGGCGGCTTCATTTTAACATCATCTCCATGCATGCCAACACAGACTTCCCGCGGTTGAGGCTAGTCACCCCTCCTTCCTATGCTTACCCCTAATGTAGCACTTGGCACACCTCAATGTGGATGTCCTCACTAGGTTGCTCCCAAAGGGGTCTCTTATCATCACTTATCACTAGTGCCTAAAACAGTGCCGAGCATTAGGTACTCGGTAAATGTTTGCTTAACTATCTAATCACCTAACTCAGCTACAACTGAAGTGGAATATTAAAAGTAAACTTAGTGGTAGGAAGTGCTAACCCACAGGCAAATAGACAAGTTCTAAGTTTCATGAAATTTAGGAGAGGTCAAGAGAACAGTAAAATACTCAGGAAACAATTATTAGGCTGTCTTCGTTCAAAAAAAGGAGGAGTAGAATAATATATTTTAAATGATCACTTACTCAATTCATGTCAATACAACTTATTTTATGAGAATGAATTAAGTAGTTGATATATATGTCATAAGAGATCCAAATCAACGACTTCAATAATGATATACATTGTATGATATCAGCTTAAGTTTGACAATTTCCAGAGTTCAAAGAAGACTGCAGTTACTTTTTAAAATCATCTAAATATAAACCTAGTTACACTAAAGCGCGCGCGCGTGTACACACACACACACACACACACACACACACACAGAAGTTTCATTGCACTGTCCCAAGACCGAGTGCTGGCCTTCAAGTGACAGAGGCAACCAAGTGTCCTTTAAGGTATTTATTGGGGGGTGGGCTTCACACACGATTCCTTTAACACAATCTGTGTGAACGCCACTAACTTTCCGAACCTAAGTCAAAAGGGGCTTTCCTGGAGCCTTCCCTTTTCTTTTTCCTAAATGGGAAACCGATTCTAAAAAGGTCCATCTTTTACTTTACTTCACTGTAATTCTGAAACATGGGGTGAAAGTACACTTAGAAACCCTAGGGTTAGGACTGGCAAAATACTTTCCTGCAAGTTCTAGCATAAAGTAAAACAGAAAGTTTTTTTTTTTGGGGGGGGGGGGAGTGGGGAGAAGGGAGAGAAGAAAAAAACAAGACAAAAACTGAGCATCTCCCTTGAGACTGCCGCTTCTGTGGCCGTCCCAGAAGGCACGGTGGAGGCACACAGGCCACGGTCCCACCCCAAGCACAAGGGCCTCCGACTGCCTGACACATCAATGAATTAGTCAACGGAGGCCCAACTCTCTTTCCCCCTCTCATTGGCTTTAATGACTGCTCACCCCCAACAACCCTCAGCTTGACTCTAAGTGGTGACCATATGGAATCTCCTCTTTACCCTGAAGTATATAAATCGGGCCTTTACCAAGGGACTGACTACGACGGCTTCCATCCACACCATTACAATAAAGCCCCTTCCCGATACCGACACCTAAGGAAGGCCGACGTAAATATGGGGGGAAAGACAGTCCAGCCGCTTAAAGTAACAGTAACCGTGCATGCTGCCTATTTTGTAACAACAAACAGGCACTGGAGCAGAATGGGAGACTCGAAAGCAGAAGACCGGAGAGAAAAGCCTGGGAAGACCCCGCCCCAGTGAGGAGCTCGGTGCAGATGGAAACAGTAACTTGGGTTTTGTGTTGTTGTGTTTTTTTTTTTGTTTTTTTTTCCGCCCAGGATCGGCATCACTGAAACAAAGGCGTGTATATTCTGGGAAGCAAGATGTCTGGAGTGAAAAAGACACGGTTTTGCAGCTGCACAGGCCACACACACCCCACCCTCCCGCTGGGTCTTACCTATGGTGGAAATGAAGGTGGTGTTGAAGGCATCGTCCGAGAAACGAAAAAGGACGCAGGTCTTGCCCACTCCCGAGTCCCCGATCAGGAGCAGCTTGAAAAGCAGGTCGTACGTCTTCTTCGCCATTGGGAGGAGCGGCTCGGGCGCTCGCCGCGGGCGGCCCCAGGGGATCGGTCCCTCTCACCAGGGCCAACTCCTCCACGCCCGGGTGTGTTCTTCAGGCCGGAGGACCGGGGAGGCGTGGGAACAAGGAGGGTTCGAGAAGGCGCGGGCGACCTACGAACGGCCTCGTCGAGAAAGCACCGGCGGCGGCGGCGGCGGCGGTGGTGGCGGCGGCGATCGGTGCTTCCGAGGGCGGCGACCGCGGCTCCGCAGCCTCTCCCAGCCGCGCTGCTCTGCCCGGTTCCGGGGAGTCGGCCGGGACAAAATGGCCTCCCCTCCCCCCCTCAGGGCTGCTCGGCTGGGACCGCTCCCACGGGCGAGCCAGCGAGCTCGGCCGTCGTCCAGGGAGCGCGGGGCGCGTGGAAGACAGTCTCTCTCCCGAGCCGAACCTCCGCGCTAGGACTCGGCGATGGCAGCCAAAGGAGGACCCCGAGCCGAGAGCTCAAGCTACATAGCCACAGGAAGCCCAGCCGCCCCGGCCAGAGCCACCTTTCCCCCGTGCCCTCTCACGCCGGCGTGCGTGCGCGCTGCCTGACTCACGCAAGGACGTAGGCCCGCCCTGCGGAGGTCCGCCTCTGCGCATGCGCGCCGGAGTATGTGTGTGGGGTGGGCAGCCGGGGGCAGGGGCGGGGTGGACGGAGCGCTGGGTCTCCAAGCCTCAGCCTCAGGCCGGATAGAGACGAAAGGGGCGGGGCGAGAGAGGGCGAGGCCACGGGTGCGCTCCCTGTGGCGGCCGGATAGATTGCGCGTGCGCGGCGGAACGAGCGTGCCCCGCGGGGGTGGCGCTGCGTAGCAACTGCGCAGGCGTGGTAGGCTGGAGTAGCCCTTTAACCCCTCTACTTCTCCCTCCCCGGGTCGCCCTGCCCGCTGCGCTGAGGATGTTCCGGACTGTGTGTTACCGGGTGTCGAGCTGCCCTGGGTACCGCGACCAAGGGCTTGGTGGCCCTGGGATTCCTGTAGAGCTGAACCTGGTACACGCAGCGCCTAGGTCACTTCATACTTGGCTAACATGCGACGCATCCTGGCGTGCGCCTTCCGTCGTGGGCTAGTCGTGACAGGGGAACCATGCAAGCTACCTCCCGTTTTACTGAAGGAGCAAAGAGTTGGCCTTCCAGAGGTTGGAAATGGAAAATCCGGCCGCGCCGCTGCTCTGGCTGGCATGATGTCATCGGCCTTCCAGGGCGAGGAGTGGAAGGCTGAGGAGCACCCGGGCGCTGGGAGAACCTGCCCCCCACGTGGAACCTTCGGTGCGGTGCTGTCCACGGAGCACCCGCTCCGGGCCTGGGCGTCCATGTAGAATACGGAGAGCCCAAGAGCGCTGTACCGAGAAGGCAGGTCCCCCTCCTGCCGCCAAAACCGAACCACCGGTGTCCAAAACTGAAGGATAGGGAAACCAACCCCCCTACAACTCTACTCTGTCTCTTCTTGCACTTTCCTTTCAGGCGCCTTACATCCTTCCTCTCTCTCATCAGTCTTATTTATAACTACTACCCTTTCCTCTTCTTCCTTTCTGTAATTTTAAATATTCATACTCCAGCCCAGCCTGGCATGGCTCAGGGGTGGAGCCTGGACCTATGAACCAGGAGGTCAGGGCTGGATTCCTGGTCAGGGCACATGCCCAGAATTATGGGCTTGATCGCTTGTGGAGCGTGCAGGAGGCAGCCAATCAATGATTCTCTTATCATTCATGTTTCTCTCTCTCTCCCTCTCCCTTTCTGAAATCAATCAATTACTTAATATTCACACTCCTGCCCCATCAGTATCACTGTGCTTCATGGCTCCAAAGCACACCTAGGTTGGCAGAGTAGTTGGTCCTGGACTGGTTCAACCTAACACAGGAGAAAACAGACATCTGAAAAGCAAGAAACAGTATTGAGAACTACATTTTTTTTAAAAATATATATATATATTATTAATTTTTTTACAGACAGGAATAGAGAATTAGAAACATTGATGAGAGAGAAACATCGATCAGCTGCCTCCAGCACACTCCCTACTGGGGATGTGCCTGCAACTAAGGTACATGCCCTTGACTGGAATCGAACCTGGGACCCTTCAGTCCACAGGTCGAAGCTCCATCCACTGAACCAAACATGTTAGGGCAAGAACTACATTATAACACCCTAATCACCACCAAGATGTTTGTGTATTTAATATGTAATTAAAATTAGTCTTTCAGGCAATTATTCATATTTCAGTCACCCATTCTTTAGACTTGTTTTACATTCTTCCTTCAAAATTGCCCCTTAAGCTTCATTACTAAAGATGCTTGTCTTCTCTAGTACATCTTGTTCTTCAGTTTGTTTCTGTGCTTGCTCTTTTTAGTCTTGTCATTTAAACATGATTCTTTCCATTGGGAATGTCTTATTATGATAAGGCCAACAATTCTAAAATAGGCTAGCTATGGGAATCACAAAATGAGCGATGGTCAGTGCTTCAAAATTTTGTTATCAAATCAGAATCAACCCTGAGTACCTCAGGAATATCTTCTTAGCTTGATTCTTTCAAAATAAGTTCTATTGACTCAAGCTTCAGTGTTGTAATGCATTTTAGAATTGTTACAGTTTTTAAATGTAGAGAGCCTAATTAATTTCCCTATATAAATTTTGGGGGTAATGGGCAGCTAAAAACGAAAAAATTTTTTTTTAAAGTATTCTTTATACCATGTTTTTAGTCATTTCATTCATTAGAATCTTTTCTCCATTGACTCCAAACTTTAAGAATTATCTCCCCGTTGGTGAGGCTCAGTGATTGAGCATCAACCTATGAACCAGGAGATAACGGTGTGATTCTCCATTGGGGCACATGCCCATATTGTGGGCTCAATTGACGCAGGAGACAGCTGATCAATGAACGATTGATGTTTCTATTTCTCTCCCTTTCCCTTCCTCTCTGAAACCAATAAAAACCTATTTTTAAAAATGAATTATACTTTTTAATACAATTTATTTATTATTGGGTTAGGATCTTAGAATTTTAGGACTATCATATCTTTTAAGTCATAATTTAACTTGTGTTTGTAATTTACAGATGAGTCTAAGGCTCAGGGAGATTAGGGATTTGTCAGAAATCACACTGCTAGTGGCAGAACCCACACTATATGGGCAAGGGGAAGGAGAAACAAACCTCTACAAGACACCATATTGCATGAAAGGGAGATTTGGGACGCTCTGCCAGTACTTAATGTTTGGCTTCCCTGAAGTTAAAGGTTTTGCTGGAGTGAGGCCTAAGCTTCGAGCCATATCTACCACGAAGGCAGCTGGAGTGATCAAGCATAGAAGACCCCCTGATTCTTGAAGAAATAAAATACAATAAAAGGATAAAATGGGGGTCTATGTAGGCCTAAAAGGCAAACCTAGAGATGTGAAGTAATATTTGAAAAAGTTTCAAACTAAATGAAAGTGCCAATTTAGTACTAGCTTAGGTTTTATGCCTTTTTCAAATTGCTCTGTAAAAAATCTAGTCTGAATATTTGCAAAGTCAAGAAAGAAAATGGGTATATTTATATGTTTATACTATTAATTAAGGTGTTATTTCTATGTTTTTCTAGAAAACACACAGCTGGCCAGCTCTTCAGGATCAACTCTCAGGACCTGCTTTATAAGAAAGCTCTGCCTTAAGAGGTATTGACTCTGGATCATCTTTATCCCTCTTCCTGTGTATATTTTTCAGTTTCCTTTTACCTGATTTCTTCCTCTTGAATCTCTCCGCCCCTTGCTCTCTCTGTTCTTCTTTTTTTTTTACATATATATTTTATTGATTTTTTTTTTTTTTTTTTTTTTTTTTTTACAGAGAGAAAAAGACATGGATAGAAAGTTAGAAACATTGATGAGAGAGAAATATCGACCAGCTGCCTCCTGCACACCCCCCCAGTGGGGATGTTCCCGCAACCAATGTACATGCCCTTGACCAGACTTAAACCTGGGACCTTTCAGTCCGCAGACCGATGCTTTATCCACTGAGCCAAACCGGTTTTGGCTCTCTGTTCTTCTTAAGAATGGAGTCTTCCCTTGAATGGTAGCCTCACTGCTATGTCATCACCTTGCTGTAAAACCTCAGGGACTTGGCCTATTTGTATACTGCCTATTTGCTATGTCCGTATTCCCAAGCTTCTCCCAGGGACTTCATGAGATACTAACTACTGATTGCCAAGAGGCTGCAACTTTTCTCATCACCATAGCCTGCCAATATCCTGCTCTGTCTTCATATCTTGATTTAGTCCTACCTCCTGTTAGAGAATTATTGCCCCCTGAGCCTTCCCAGCCCACCTGATGTGTTTGTTCTAGTCTCCTCCAAGGATACCTCAGTGTTGGCCTACTCAGCTGGCACTTAAAGGGCTCCAGGCCCTAACCAACTTCCTCTCCTAGCTTTCACACACTAGTCTCCAGACAAGATGAACTAGTCCTCTTTTTCACAGTTGCTATATATCTGCTGGATTTCATGCTTAATTTAATGTGGTTCTCTCTATACAAAATGCATTTTCCTCACCCCAGCTACATCTTTTCAGCCTTCAGCTTAACTGTTCTCACCAACATTCTTGTGACAAGGAACTCGTTTCTCCTTTGAACTCCCATAGCACTTTTAAATATCAATGTTTCTCCCTTTTATTTTACAAGTAATGTATATTTACTCTTAGATACTTAGAACCTGCCAATAAGGAAAACAAAAAATTTTAATTATTAGAACGTCTATCCCCAACCAAAGGGTCAGTTACCAGGTGGGTGGGAGGGAGGGTGAAAGGGTGCAAAGGGGAAGGTAAATATAGTCAATAATATTGTGACAAGTTAACACAGTGACAAATGATTACTAGAATTAATCGGGTGATCACATTGTAAGGTTTAAAAATGTAGAATCACTATTTTATATACCTGAAACTAATATAATCAATATAAGATTGTATATCAACTATACTTAAATTAAAAAAATAGAAAATACTTCTACCCCCAGAGATGACCACTATTAGC